GTTTGATCTCCATCAATGTCAACACCTTACCCCTACTTCCTTTCGCTATTGCCCTTTCTAACATAGAATACACGTACTTACTATATACGTCCACATTATTTTCTTGTTTGTTAAATTGTTCTTGTAAAAACTGCATCAATTGTTTCTCGAAATCTTTTGAAGGTGGAAATGTTATGACAAGCACGCATAATAACTCCCAACCTCTCTTTATGCTGTTGCTGTGGAAATAAATGAAAGGCAAGGCAAGGGAATAAGTAATCTTAAGTTCTCATAACTATGAAACCATTAGAATGAAAAATCAAATTACCTGTTAGAATTCTTGGTCAGCTGTTTTAAAACTTGCATATAGATCTCATCTCTTAACTCCTTATTCGTTATTCCTTTACTCAACAACCACTGGGTTTCCTCAAGTATTCTAATTGATGACAAGGACAGTGCAGAAGATGAGGATCGAGAATAATGGGTTGTGGTGGATATAACATTTCGACGAGGTCCTTTCTTCATGGTTCGATCGCCCATTATTCGTTGTATCGATTTAAAACTTTTGATGGCATCCCTTTTAATTCGTGGATTCGAGGCAATTAGCGGCTGTTTGATTTTTTTCTATGGTGATTATAAGGTTGTCGAAATGAGAAGCTCTTCGTTTGCAGCGTATAATCAATAGATTGTATGTATCAATGTACCTTCTGGAATAGTGTCTTACTCTCTACAGAAACCTTCCGTCTGAACATTCCCCTATGTATGTTAAAGTACTTCGGCGAGGATCCACCAACATTTAGTTCCCGTGACGTGGTGAGCGTTTCCCTGTATAAAAAATTAAGGGTGGTTCTTGAGTAAAAAGGTCTAACTTCAACATCCCAAAACGATGATTAAACGTTAGCTCCACAGGAACCTACCCTTCTGTCTTTTTACGGGTGCTATTAGTACGCTTGTTATCTTAAAGTCAATTTGTTATATTAAAAAAAAAGAACTTTGCTGGCGAGATGTATAAAACAACAAAAAAAAAACTCACAAAAACGGGTAAGATTATTTATTCTGGTTTTGCCTTTTTTTCTGTCGACTAAATTAGGCCACGACCCTCGAGTAAGTGAGTCGTGATTCACGGTAGAAGCATTTGGCGAACCTGCAGGCGAAAGCCTACTTGACGAACCATGCGATATTAAAGTATTCGATGAAGGTCTCCTGGCGACAGATTTCATTAGTGTTAACATGTAGAGTGATGATTGTGGTTTTGACGAGATAGATGCCGTGTTATTACACGTTATGTCACTATCATATTCCTCACTTCGACACCCAAACTCGGATTTATTCAAGATTATTTCGTCAGAAATCAACTTTGCCAAGTCACTTTCAGACCTTGAGGCTCGCGATGACTTTGTATTTATTATATTTTCTGTGATGGTGACCGATTCAAGGGAAAACTGAGTTGAGTCACTGCCACTTTTGACATACAGTTTACCACTATCGACGAAACAACCATTCCTGTTATTTTTCCGGGTTCCTTTTTTCGAAGAAGTTTCGATTTCGCCCAGAGGAGTGCTCACTGCTGATATGTAGTCTTCTCTTTCGGGAGATCCTCTAGTCTCCGTCGAAGAAATTACGTTCGACACATCACCCTCATTCCAAGATCGAGCACTGTTAATGTCGGTGTTATGGGTTTCCACTTGTTGGGAGTCGAAATCAGGCCAAGCTCGTGGGACAGAAGCTATCAATCCTTTTCCGATTGAGGATTTCTGTTGGAAAGAAATAGTCAAAAAAAAAATGATCAGAAGGGGAATATGCAAAATGTGTAAGTTTGACATGGACATTCATATTCACACCTGAACTTTAGTCAATTTTATAATATGTCCTGTCTCTGGTGTGGCTCGCTCCGTCTTACCGGTAGCGGCGTGATAGTAAAATGTAATTTTGTGGTTATCGTCCCATAATTCCCACCACTCTTCGTTAGGATCTCTTTGCGTTCTATTTTTTTTAAAAAAAGATATTATAATTTAGTAAAAATGAATAAATTATTTGGTCTAATAAAATACTTTAATTACAAATTTGCGTCCTGCGGTTTATCCCATGAAGCCTCTCCAGTGTCCTATCATAATAAGAAAGATTATTTCAATGTCATTGTTAGGGCAAGTCGGAATAATGTGAAAAAAATATTCTGAAAAAGAAAGATTATATATTTACAGGATTTGCGTAGAAGAGCTCTTTAGAGAATGGATTCATAATCTCTACCCATTCTTCGTTGATTCTTTTTACTTGGGACATGTTTTCTTTATTACCATAAAGAGATGAGTGGATGATGGTTATCAAGGAGTTTTCGAGCTTTTCTTTCAAAGAAATGTTATCACTCATCAAGTATTTTAATGCGTCCTCAGACGAAGAGAAATGTATTTCGACGACGACAAGTTTATTCAAAGGTTGAGGAAAGAAAGGATCATGGATCATATATGGTTTTGATACTTAGGATTTGCAGCTCTTTAACAATTAAGTGAATTCTCATAAACGATTCTCACGCTCATGATGATTTCATACACACCTTCAAAAAGCTCGTGAAATGTATTAAGCGCGATTTTCATTACTAACCAAATCTAGATGTTGCTTCGGTGTTCTTTTTCCTATAATAATTATATCGGACGCGTAATGGTACATTTACGTAATGTTATTTTCAGGGCACTATTATTTTTATGACACATCAATATACTGAATATACTGTATGTAATGTATGTATATATTTTATGATACAATATTTAAAAAAACTATTTTATTTACAGTACTGTACATGCGCATAAATTATATACACTATACTGAACAGTAATTTATGAAATCAATCAAAAAATTTTTTTTTTTTTAAAAAAAAAAAAAATCTAAACGGAAAATAATTCTCGGTGGGGGGTTTTTTTTCTAAAAAGATGAAAAATTCGATTTTGAATAAGTACTATTGATAATTTTAGATTTGATTTCTGCTTTCGGTTTAATTTAATATATTTGATAATTTTGTCACTATTAACGATATATAATTATAATAATCCATTTTAATATCAAAGGAAAAACATCTATATAACGAAAATCTTTTTTTTCTTGGCGAAAAAAATTTTTTTTTTTAAATATATATTTAAATATATATTTATATCTTGAAATTTTACAAAATCGAAATATTATTTGATTTAAATTAATTAATAAATAGTTATGTTCGTATATTTATATGTTAATATATTTATATGTCGTATAATTTGCAAACAAAAAAAATATATCAATTAATTATAATGTAAGTAAAAAAAATAATTTTTTTGCGAAAATAATTTCAAATAAATTATTCGAAAAAAAATCATTATTTTTATCAAGTTATATAAGTTGCTTTTATACATCATGTTTAAATCGAATGATTTATTTATTTATTTATTTATCTACGTTATAAGAATCAAATATTCGAAAGTATTTGTATTTGACTTTGAGAAAAACTCAAATTTATTCCCTTAGTATGATTATAAATAATGATTTCATTTTTGCTTAATATCAATTTTAATTGTGTCGCCTATAAATTTACTGTTTATTTATTCATGGTTCCAATAAATTCTCGAGTTTTTTCATAGAATTGGAATTATTTTCGAAAGAGTTCACTTTATAAGTTATTTGAGTTTACTAGAAAGAACCGATTTTTGACTTCGAAACCGAATGCAGTAATTGCTGTATCACGGACTCGCCGATACCTTTTTTGGTAACAATGCATTGTTATTTGTTAAATAATGTAGCGAAGAATTGGTTTCCCCTCTAGTACTTGGTTACGGTCTGCTGCATCGAATATATTTCACAGCACATGCTAAAAGAAGCTTTAATAAATAGATTCATCTGCTTTCAAGAGAGAAATGGAGAAAGTTGATGTCTCGCCATCTTCTATTCGCCACATAATTGGTAAAAATGGTGATAACATTAAAGATATTGAAACTCGTTCAGGTGCAACATGCATTGTGCAGGAAAATCAAGTTATCATCACAGGTTCTGATGATGAACGCCATATTGCTCGTAACCTCCTTCAAAATTGTATTGAAAATTCCATCGTAGTCTACCATCATCCGGACAATGCGGTTGTTGCTCTTCGACCACCGTTAAACGAACTAAAAAGTTTATTGTTTACGAGATATGAAGGAATTGTAAGTATTAGCAACATTAATAAACCTTATTTTGTTTTGGATGAAGGCGAAAGGATGAAAAGGAAGAATGACGACGATGACCATATTTCGCTGAAAAGTCTGGCAAATAGGTATGCTATTAATTATCGGATGTATTGTATTTGAAGCATTTATTGTCCAATTTGTAGAAATTTCTTCTATTTTAACAAAAAAAGATCATTTATCGCTCCCAAAGAAGATAGAGTCTTGATCTTGCTTATTGCGGAACAACTCATGGAAGAGGTGACCAAATCTCAAATTGAATCTCTTAGCTTCAAGGTTCGAGCAAACATCGGAAAACAACTTTTTTATCCTGCCAATAAAGGAGAATCCCACCTTCCATCTTCGATTCTTCTCAGTGAATTACTTGAATATAAAATTGGTTACAAACGTGATATTAAAACTACGTTTACGAACTTTCTTCCTGAAAGTTTGGTAAAATCAGTAGAGCAACGTCTTGAAGAAGTGGGATACAGAGAATACAATGATGTATCTGAAGTCCCGAGAGCCTCTGTCCATCTTCTTGATACCGAGAACAAGAGACGTTTTACTATTTCTATCGAAGTCATGCCAGATAATTGCCTTAAAATTCTCAAATATCGTCCGGCAAATAAAAAGCATCTTTTCGTCTCCTTTGCCAGGCAAAAATCTGTTCCGGATTTTCGTCTTAAATTCTTTTCAAAAGGGCCACATGAAGAATTGGTAACACCAAAAATCAGTAACTTCATCAACAATGCTATCTACAATCCATCCAAAAAGAACATCAAGTTTCCGAAGAATACCAGTTATCGCGTCTCGACGGTTCGTGTGAAATTTAAACGCAAGTTTTATGACGACACTAACAAAACTGGAATAAAAGTGACGATTTCAGAGATATTTGAAGACGGAACGAAATATATGCAAGTAACTGCAACCAGTTTGGATTTACATGAAGTATTGAATAATAATAAGGATATAGAGGAATGCAAAGAAAAGATGAGGTTGTTCATTAATGAAATGAATAATATCGTGCAGAATATAAGTATGTAATGAAACCAAAGTACTGTATTGTAAAGCTATGTTTGTGTAACCACTGTCTAGTACTGTAATTCATTTTTAAGAAAATAATAAGAAATTGAAAATTTTATGGAAACTTGTGTTAAAATAAAAAAATCTTTAATAACTTTTTCAAATAATAGATTTTTGAAAAATTTCAAAAATTTCATAAAATTATAAAATATAAGTTACTATTAGCAAGTTTGTTGCTAATCTAAAACCAGAACTTGTGTCACATTAGAATTGAACTTGATAAATCTTCTCTTGTCTCCTGGATACTGCAGGCTTGCTTCTTTATACTTTTAATTAATTTTATTCTAACTTGATCCTAGCTTCTGATAATTTATTATACAATTAACAAATTATAGACAAGAAAAGTAAATTTATTAATTAAATTATTATACAATTACAAGTTTGATATGCAATTCACTAATTTAATAAAACTAATGAATATTTTTTTATTAAACAATTCCCTAGCTATTTATACACAATTCCCTAGCTATTTATATTATCCACAACATTTCCATGCTAAATTTTAAGAGGTGCATTTGTATTCTCATTTTATTTTTCTAAACTATCTTTCCTAAAAATATGATACAATAATACATGTTTTGCTACATTACAGTTATTACAAAACTTTGCATAAGTTGATTATTGTATTTTGCAATTTTTTATTAATAAGCTTTTTCAAATTTTTGCTCTTTATTAATATATAATTTGATATATCTAACTCTATATCAGATCTGATTCATATCTAATTTTATATTTCTATTTTTCATCTATATCATATCTTCACTTATTTATATAATTCTTATTCTAACAATATATAATATAATTAATATAATTTATTTTTTAAATTATAATACAAACAAATTTGCTTATGCCATATATTTAAAATTTTAATAAAATTTTAAATATTAATTTTTATAAGTTACTTATATCAGTCACGGGACATTTCTCTATTAGTGCTTTTTACTAGTAGATTGATTTTGCGTAACATGGGCAATCAAACTTTTCTGTAAAAATATTTCGTTTAACTTATAATAAGTGATACTGCCGACCTAAACAAACCTTAATCTACAAGTTCCTAGCTTTCATTCTATGTTAAAAAACTTTATTTATTGTTAACTTTACGCAAGTAAAACTGAATTGAAAATGGCAATTTTTTAGGTATAAATCTTAAGATCTTCTTCCAGGATCTTTAGATTCATCTCAATTTTGTTCTTACGAAGGTAAAGATTAATGTTTGCTTCAAAATATCTTACTAGCACAAATGTGGTTTACTAACGCTTTTTTAATATTTTCTTAGAAGTGTTTTTTTTTTCAGACAAAAGTAATAATTTTAAATCTTAATGGGTTACAAGTAATGTACTACGTGATAATTCTAATAAAAAAAAATTTCAGAAAAGTATAAATCGCTTATGTATCGACTGTAATTACATATTATTTGTCTTTCTATTCTGGTTATTTCTCCAATACATTTTAATTTTTTCAGTCGTCCAATCCAAAGATATAGCTTGAAGTTGTAATAATACTTTCGAAATTACAGTTTCGGGGAGTTGTTCTAATTCAAATAATTGATTAAGTATCACTTTCTCTACTTTTGTAGTGGTGCGGCGTGTCTTTTTTGGATAATCGGTTTTAAGAGGTAATAGCGTCTGTTGTTGTATTGATGAAATACCTTGCTGAATAATTGATTCTCGAGAAGAATTACTTACTTGTTTATTTATTTTCTTCTCTTTATCTACAAGCTGCGCGTAAGTATAAGAACTTATGTTACGCATACGGCGCCCTACAGTTACCCGCGGCTCAGTCTTGTACACATTCTGATCAAGTATTTTTTGAAAACGTGATTTTCCAGTTTCGTATAAAGAAAGAATTCTTACAATGCCATTTTCATTAAGTTCTGGTACACCTTTAAATAAGGGATGTGTTTTAGAATCTGAATGATTAAAAGCGTTCGATAACTTTGCCACCAAGGACCAAAGTGAATCTTTATGTAATTTGATTGAACGAACATTCTGATTTACTACAAGATCATCAATATATTCAGCAAGAAACATTGATAACCGATTTTTCTCACTTTGAGCTGCCTTAATCTTAAGCATCAGGGTTGGTTGGTCGGTAAGATTCCCACTAATATTTTGCTTGATGAAGTTTACACCATATGTTTCAAGTGCTTCGTCAAAAGCAAAATAATGACCTTCATTTGTAATATTTACTGAGCATACTGTTTGTAGCAA